AGCTGACAAATTGATGAATCAGTGAATAAAGTTACCTTTATGTCATCCTAAAACATAGGAGAGAAAATTTAAAGTTATGTTTAGATGTTCCTGTTTTAAGTAGCGTTTTCCCTCTTATGGGGGAATTTTTGCCATGAGATTGATTTATCATATTTCCTCAGTAATGAGTTCTTGATGGGATCAAAGGTGGGAAACAGCCAGGATTTATTGGCCGTATCAGGCTGCTGTGGAAATGTTCCTTCCTTATCAGACATAGCCATTTGCTTCCAGCTGCATTTAGACCCATTTATCTACTTATTTGTATTTCATGTATTTAGACTTCCCATTTCCATCAAAAAGGGGCTCTAAGTGGTGTCCTTTCCTGAGGCATCTATCCACATAATGCCTGATTTCAAAGGGTAAATCAGTGTCAGGCCTGCCACAACTTAAATCTCTAAATAGAAACAGTCCTTGGTTCATAGGTTAACAAAGGTATAGTTTTATTAGAAATCAAGTGTATTGCAGTATTGCAAAGTCAGAACTGAGAATCATATGCCCAAACCCCTCTTCCCTCCCCTGACTGTCCCTCATTCCCCCCCCCCCAGCAACCAATCAGGTTCAGGCTAGATGTATTCATAATTGTCAATCAAGCTTGGTAGTTTGATATGTGGCTCCCTCCTTCTTCCAGCTGAGTTACCTTGAGGCAGCATTTTAAGGACATACAGCACTTACTTTAGTTTCCCTAAGCATTCCCTCCTTCATCCCCCCAATTCATGGCAGTCTGTCACCACATAGCAGTGAAGCACAAGCAGATATTAGGGAGCACTTGATAATCGGCATCATACGGGATCCTACGTAATCAGGCTTTGTGTCTTTTTGAAGAAATGCTAGATCTGTGTTCAGACTTTGTTAGAAAGAATTAATCTTGTATTGTACAAAAGATCTAAGGAAAATAGTTTTTTTGCTAGTTGTTCTCAAATTGTGTGAGTCATGGGCTTTCCCCTGTTTTTAGTGTGAAAGAGTTTTGCAAAGCTATACATTTTTTTTTCTTTTTATTTCTTGTGTGATACCATTTTGCCTATTCATAACCATCTTGATATACTTTAGTGCAGGGATCTTCAAACTTGACAGCTTTAAGACTTGTGGACTTCAAGTCCCAGAATTCCTCCTCCAGTCATGTTAGCTCAGGAATTCTGGGAGTTGAAGTCCACAAGTCTTAAACTTGTCAAGTTTGAAGACCCTTGCTTTAGTGGATATCTCTGGATTCTGCTAATGACAACAACCATTCTAATACTTACTGATTTGAGATAAATCAGCTGCTAAATTTGTTATCTTCATATTTCTGAATCTTAATTAATTCCATGTTACTCCTATGTTTGTCTCCCCATTCTTTTTTTTCTTTTTTTTTTTGCCCAGAGTATATTGGAGCCCAAATTAAAGGGGAAAATTAACAAGGGATTTGCTTTTCCATTCAGAGGGCTGGCCTAGAAAACCTCCAAGGCTCCCTTTCAATCCTATGATTCTATGATCAGTCTAAATGTGAGGTTGGGAGAATGGAGATTCTCTGCTCCTGTGAACTGCCAGTTAAACTAGTGGATTTTTGGATGTGGATCAGCTACCTTCTTGAAGGAAAACCAACATCTCAGGCTTCAGCTACATCCAAGCCTACATCACTAGGGTAAAAATAGAGAGAGGCTGGTAGTTGTTTTTTCTCAATATTATGAGCTGTTTAATGAGAAGGTGAAAGGAAATTTAAGTATAACCCAGTTATTTTCCTAACTGGTCCTATGTTACAAATACTGAAACTCTGAAAAACTGTATGTGTTCATTAAGCAGCACCAAGGAAATCAATCTGCATTAGAACCATAAAAACAGTACAATTTGGATTTGTTAATGAGGTTGAATAAAGTTTGCCCATTAGTGAAAATACAATTCACACTTGCGTGTTTTTCTCCTGAAAAGAACTAGAGGAACACATTCCTGTGATTTAATCTAATTACAGGAATAAAGTCAGTCTTACAGTAGATATTGGTCATAAGGTGGCAGAGGGACATGATTTAAGTGTCTTGATAACTAAAAGTGAGAAACACTATATTTCATCTATAAACTAGAAAAATATAAATTGAAAATGCAATTCAATTTCAGTCTTCATAACCATATCATTTCACAAAAATGTTAACATGGGACTTCCGGTTGCAAGGCTTCGGCGGCGGCAGGAATCCGCGATCGTGCGCTGTTCCTGCTGCCCTCACTGCTGAAGTGCCTCCAATCCAGCCGGGTTTGGAGGCTGTCATTACCCCGTAGAGGTAACGGAAGACAGAGGAGACCCAGGCAGGGGTCTGGGGATATCGCAACCCCTTTCCCCAGCCAGCTAGACTCCTTTTTCCTAAGGCGGTGGAGCGGCGGTCAGCAATGGTCGCCACAAAGAAACCTTCAGCCGGACAAGATCGTGCAGGAGGAAGTGTCCGAAAGTGAAAGTTCTTTGGCTGAACCGGGACTCTAAGATATATCTAAATACCCTGGAACTAAAAAAATTTCTTGAATGATATATTGTTTCCAAAAGAGACTGTGAAAGCGGCGAATGAAAGTGTTAAAAGGGAAAGTTCACTCTCCTTCCTTACGGAGATAGCAAATGGATATTGAAAAACCTGCTTTGGCACTGAAGGTAAAAATCAAAAGTTTTTTGCTATAAGTGGGAAGGGAGAGGTAAAAAAAAACTTATATTAAGATCTTGCTGGAGGAGACGGCTTGGAATTTATAAGATTAGAAATTAACTGCAATAAGACTTCAAAAATATATTTTGGAACTTTGTAATTGATATTGCCCCAGGAGGAGAAAGTGTGAAGAGAAGAAGGTGCTAAATGAAACATTTTGTGTTTGTTTGGATTGCTTGATGACTTTGGGACTTTTGGAAACTACTCTAAGATTAAAAACATTTGGGTTGTTTTAAAAAAAAGAAGAAGAAGAAACCTTACAATGGCATTATCTGTGGAAGAATTAAAAATGGAATTTGAAAAATTAAAAGAAGAGGAACAAGAAGGCAAAGGGCTCTTTTGGATCTGTTTTTCATTTCTTAGAAATGGCGATTTCTACCTACCAGCAAATACAACAACAACAAGAAGAAGAAGAAGCCATCTTTAATGGACAAATAACTTTAGCCAAGAAAGAAGGGAGGAAGAGGGGAAGGAAAATGGAGAATTTAAGACTCAAAAAAACAACCAAGAAAGAGAAAAATAAGGTGAAAAATCGATATAATGTCAGAAAGCAACAGAAAAGAGGAATACAACAGAGAGGGGAGGTTAAAAAGGCGGAGGTTAAGAGAGGGGGGGGGTAAAAAGGCCAGATTGGATAAGAAAGGAAGGGAAAAAGGGAAAAGAAGTAACAAAGGCTTGAAACAAGATGGGAAAAAGCAGATTTTTTTAGAGACAAAGGGTAAAGTACAATTAAAAAGAGATTCTGCAAAAGTACACAAGATTGTATTGTAGTATTTGTATTTGAAATAGAAAATTGGAATATTATAAGAACTAATAAAATGTTAAAATATCAAAATGTTTAAGATTTAATGATATATTTTAATATTTAATGAAATATTAAAGGGAATGTGTAAAATGTCTAAGATTTAATGATAGAGTTTAATGTGCTATTGTTTTAATGTCATTATAAACTTGTTATTTTCTTATTTTAAAAGGTAGTATCTAAAATGTATTAAGCAGAATCAGAATGGAAATTATATATTTAACTATATTATAGGTTTGTTGTTTTCTTATTTTAAAATGTAGTATGTAGAGTGTACTAAGCAGAATCAGAATGGAAATTATGTATTATTTTAAGTGTTAAATTTTGGGGAAAGATAGAAAGGCGTCATACTTCAATTAGTGATTACAGGAGAAATTTTGTGTTAAAGAGAAGAGATAAATAGATAATTGGAAAAGAACGGACAAAAGATACAAGTATAATGATTTAAATTAAGATGAAATAAATAAAATAGAATTAAGAGAGTGAAAAGAAGTTATATAGAAAATATAGAATGGTAAATAAGATAAGTAATGGTATACAAGATGAACATGAATTTGATTTAGGTCTGTACAAAAAGATGTAACCCGGGGTTAAGCCACTTTCCAAAAAGAAGTTTTATGTTTCTATGTTTTGTGTTTTTGTGTGTTTATGTTTGATTGAGAATTAATAAAACCTTGGAGGAATGTTAGAAGAGAATAATTGTAAACAAGTCAGATGAAAATATAAGTATAATGAATAAAAACATATAAAAAGACAAATATAGAAAAGAAATATAATTGAATGAAAGTAAAGGGAGAAATAACGAGAAATTTGAAAAAGACATGTATGTGTTTATATGGAAATGTGTTAATGCTGCATAAAACAATGTTTTATTTGCCTTGTTAAAATTTACAAGTAGCTTTCAGAAAAGAGGTTTTATGTTCTTATGTTTTATGTTTTGTTTGTCTTTAAAAACTAATAAAATTTGTGTTTATTTTTTTAAAAAAATGTTGTTAACATGAGAAAACAACCCCATCATCCAGATTTCATTCTGTTTTCTCTATTTTCAGACTAATATAGCTGCACAAAACTAATAATTTCTGTGAAATATGTTAGAGAAAGCCATCGTACTTTTGTGAACTTAAGTAAAGTCAAATAATTCCGTTTGCTTTAAACAGTGCTACTGAGCAATAAAAAGCATGAATACATACCCGTCCCCTAGTATATAAATGTAAAATTAAAGCAACAAAGATAATACTGTAACAATGACTGAGATTTTTTAATCGGGTAGCATAGCAAGTTTAGTGTCATGAAGGCAAAAAAGGAAGAAGGATGGTTTCTAATATAAGATGGAAAAAATACTGTTTCAAACAAATACTGCATTTGTTTTATTTTTATGCTCTTTTAAAATAGTCCACTTTATTTTTGTGTGCATTTATATGAATGTAAATCATTTCTGAATATGATATCTTACTTTCGAATTATTACATTAATTAATAATTAATTATCAATTTGCTTCTAACTAGGTGGACATGCATGGGAACATATTGTTAACATCCCTTGAAATTCACAATGAAGTTGCAAGCAATGAAATCACAACAAGTGTCAGTGATCCACATAATTCAGCAGTATCCTTTGATAACTCAGGAATCCAGTACAGAAAGCAGAGTTCCCACCGAGAAATTCTTGGGAGACGTACATTAGACAGAACTAGCACTCACACTAAGAAGAGTCATTTGCGGAGAAGATCTTCTCAGCTAAAAATAAAAATTCCTGATCTAACAGATGTGAATGCAATTGACAGATGGTCAAGGATGGTGTTTCCTTTCACATTTTCTCTTTTCAACTTAATCTACTGGCTATACTATGTCAACTAAATGGACTTTTACTTCGTTTTTTTTTAACAAAAGGACTGTAACAAGCAAATGCTATTTTGCCTGTTATTTTGTATGTGTACAGAAGACTTTTTACACTATATATAATATATATACATACTTACATATACATATATATATAAAAATCCTACGTGTACATATATTGTGAAAGAATATATATTATACTCATTGTGCATAAACATGTATACACACATTATGTAATGGTGTACACAAAATGCCTTTTAAAATAAACTTTTCAAATGAGAGAGGCAGCTTTTTGAAGCAGTATGCTTTGAGAAATATAGTTCTGTAATATTACCAAATCTTTATTTAAATCATGAAAATTCTGTCCTTTTGCAAACCCAGTTATATATCTTATTTTAATTACTGTCATTTACACTGTCCATTATGTAAAACAGGTTTTAATATTATTTGTTTAATACTGGACAATTGAATTGTTTCATAATCAACTTTGAGATTCTGTGTTAATATATTTTGTTCACAATGGAATATTTTAATTTTGCATTTTCTTGATCACTTTTACTTGTCCTCGGAACAATCATAATTATTGCTATAATAATATGTTATTTTAAATTGAACAACTGCTTACATTTTCAGGATTTTTTAAAATGTGGGATTATTAAACCATCTATTCAAAATTAGGAGATACTATCTATGGAGATTCTTTTTGATTAAACTACAGTAAATACTTTATTGGGCAGACTTCAGCCAGTGAAGTCTTAATCAATTCTATTCAATCTCCATTTATGAAACTAAAATTGATGAAATCAAGGATTTAGCCAACAGAGGGTTTGTTCATCACCTCTAGATTTTATACAATATATGTACCTCAGTAATGAAAATTGATCCAAATTATGAACATTCAGATTCAATGAGAATACCTTCCTTCTGCATGATCTATCATCACAGTTTTATTGTATGGCCAGTTTAACTCTCATGTGCTTTGTGTACTTGTTCACCCTTTCAAATTTCCAGGAGATAGCTAGAGTACAGGAGATTTTGAAAGGCAGCAGGTCTATGGATTAGAAAATTAGTACTTTCTAAGCTTCTTGCTACTATGCTGCTTTTTAAAAAAATCCATGATGCCAACCAAGAGATGATCTGGTGATTCTAGCTCAAAGTTTTATTTAAAAAAAATCAGTATTCCAAAGATTATTTAGAAAATAATTTTGTTTTTTTAACAGACAGGAAAATGCATTCATATTATCAAAATTATTTAAACAAGATTAATGTAAAATATATTTGCACAATATGCACACACACATACACACATATCTGTATGTTACTTAATTTTTTAGTGCTTTCTATTGTGATGGCATGGTATATCATTTTATTTCTGTGAAGTTACAAGATTTTTTTCATTAGAATTAAATCAATAGAACATTTCTAATGTATAGATTCAATAACAGAACATTTTCAGATCTATTTTGTATATACACCGGAACAGATAATATAGCTGATGTGCTACATTCACAAAACATAAATAATAAGACACAAACATATTTTTTTAAGTTTTATGCTTTGTTATTTTACTTTGGCAAAATGTTGCCATTTTTGTTTTTCTTCTTATTCATATTTTCATCAGTTCCAAACTTTCCTACTAACAGGTTCTGGAATTAGGGTACAAATGTTTCAGTGCTATAAAATTAGCATACAGCTTAGCAGTTCAGGTTTAGAGAAAACTGCAGAGAAATGTGAAGTTTTCGGTTACAGTCCAACAACTCTGTATCCTGTGAATTTTACGATAGCAATTTGGACTGTGAAAATGGTGTGTAAGTTCATCTGGAACTTTAATAGATTTATATGTGTGGACAAGAAGAACCAATTTTTATACTGCCTACTCTACGGAATAGCATGTACCATGTTACGTAAATGTTTCTGCATCTCATAATATCTTTTAAGAAAGGGAGAAAATCCAACATCTAGTGAAGATTGTGTATAGGATACATCATGTGTATAGGATACACCATTTCCCTCTTCTCAATACTTTAGACCTGCAGTGGGCATTGTCTTGATATTCCAGTGGTGGGAAACTTAATTGGATATCACCCAAAGTTATGTTGTGGCTGACTAAGTTATCCACTTTTGGTTTTCATTATAAAGCTTTTTGGTAAACAGTCATCTTTTTAGTAAAAAGCAACACTAAAGAAATAAATATTTTAAGAACTTGTCCACTGATGTACTAGATTTTTTTTTACTGCGTCAAAAAGAATAAATTTGGGGGTGATTCAAAAATCACACAATTTTATTGTTTTCAGATGATATACTTTTGATTTTGACAAAAAGAAATGAGCTAATATCTAGGCTGGTGGGAGTTGGCTTTCTTGGATAAATATGTATAAATTAAAACTTTTAAAAAATACTGTTAATGTTCTTATTCATTTTGCTATTATGCCAATACTGGTATTAAAACATCTTTCAAAAATCTATAAGATGTTCTTAAACTAAGAATATTCAGTGAAATGCTAGTATTTTAATTTAACAAGTAAGTACTTGTACGTAGATGATATAAAACTGATCATTCAAACTGCAGTCCAAATCAGCCTCCTGAAGAAACAGAACTGCAACCTATAGCACGTATATTTCTCTAATGTTTAAAATGTAAAGTATAATATCTAAATTGTAATAAAATGTTTGAGGATTCTAGAAAAGGCTCACACCCCAACCTTTAACCCCCTCCTCAAGAACTGGGAAGTCAGGCTGAAACATGATCTTTCAAATGGCCTCACCACATTGCCAGAACTATGGATATTTCCTATGGAAATATTGGAAGATAGATACAGTTGGGGAGCTTGAGAATAAAGCTCTCCCCTTCTGTCTTTCCAAGGTGGTTTTTCACCACCTTGGTAATCATTTTCTATTGGGAAAAATTTTGTGAATTTATATATGAACTTAGCAACTGTGTTGATCCTCAGTAAAAGACGCTAACAAAGATAAGCATGCATCAACATCAGAAAAATATTTTAGAACAAAAATTTCACTCTTCCACCAAATATTTTTGTATAAAAAGCAATACAAAGTTATGGATCTTATGACATATATTTATTATTTTATACATACATACATACA